ATTGAAGAAAATAACTCTCACTTTATATTGATTAGTAACTCTGTTAACTGAAAGTAGATTTTTATCAATTAATAATCCACTAATTGTTAATTAACAGAATTAATGAAATATTATAAAGTTAGTTCTATTAATTTTATTAACCGAAAGAAGATTTTTAATAATTAACAATCAATTAATAATCAACTAATAGAGTTAATAGTTAACTAACAAAACTAACAAAATGTTACAAATTGAAAACTATTTTCTTCAATTTTAATAGGTGAGGAGTTAAAAATATTATAATATAAGATGATGAGTTAAAATTTACAAATTTAATAAGATTAGAAATTAAAAATATCATAATATAAAATAAAAAAATTAAAACTTTTAAATTTAAGAAGGTAAGAGCTTAAAGTAAGCTTTTACTCACGAGGGCTGCTTGTTCCCTTTGATGGCAACTTCGATTTTGGCATACCACCTCTCACGCATACAGAATCAACGTGGGCCTTTATGGATAGGGTTCCATAGATCTTCTAATGGACTGGGTTAATAGAATCTCAGTGAGGTAAAACCATCAACCTCAATGCACGTCCAATCGAAAATCCAATTAGGGTATCTTCTTGGGACATCTACTTTTCTAGTGCGATATATAACTTTCAAGATAAAAGATTTGTCCATTTATAAACTAAATTTAGAATTTCAGTTCTGAAATTAATATTTTAAAATTTTTATAAGATTATTTTAAAAAATATTATTATTATATGTAAATTAGCTTAAGAACACTATAATTACTAATAAAAAGTAATGAAATTTATAAGCATTCATAAGATTAATAATATTGAAGACCTAAATACCCACCTATTCCGAAAATAAAAAAGAAATTGAGAAAAATCAAAATATTTTAACACTTAAAATATCAAGAACGATAATAAAAAAAATTAAAATATCTTTAATAAATTAACACATAAAAAAGATTCATTAATGATATTTAAATAATCTTACAAAAAAATTTAATATTTAAAGTAATATATTATCTTAATTTTCATTTTTTTAAATTAAAAAAAAACAATAGACTTGATTTTTTTTTTTTTTGAACTTGCAACAATAATTAAATAAAGTGAAGGCAGAGAAATAGGCAAAGAAATAGGCGTGCGACAAGCCACAGTTTATCCAGACAAAAACCAAAGTCGTGGACCAAAGTCGTGGCCCAAAGAACGTGCTAAAACCAATTAGCAATGCGGAGATTGAGTGGAGCTATAGAATGGAATAATTAGCATATCTGCAACCCATTAACAAATTCACAAACTAATGACCTAAATAGCTCAGTATTTATTTTTTTTTGTTAGAATTAAAAGGTTCTAAATTTGAATGGCATGTTATGCTGATAGAATGAAATAAGAGATAAAAAATAATTATTTCTCATTATGTAATTAAAATAAAAATAAAAATAAAAGAAGCCAAATTGAGAAAGATTAGTCGACCGAAAGAGACTTTAAGGTCCACCAAGTAAACTATGGCTTCGGCTTCTCTTTTCCCTGCCAACCGGCCCAATGCACTCCTAGACCCCATCAGATTATCACCCCCACAATACGCCAAAAAACCCATTTCCTTAACCCATAAAATTGTTTATAGCATACTCTTACCGAGAACTCTGGGAACAACTGCCAGCCACAAGCTAAGCACTTCGTTTGTGTAGTAGGCAGCAGAACTTCTTAAATGGTTTTTGCTTGATATTTTTTAGTACTTACTATAAGATGTCACACAATTTTATAATTTTTACATATTTCAATATTAATAATTCTTTTGAAGGCATCTATTTGGTACATTTAAAAATTTTTAATACTTAAATTTATAGGCATCTGAATTTTGTGACCCGATGATTACAAATCTTACGGTAATGTGCACTCTCTAATTCAAGAATTGGGATTCAAATTCTCCCTCCCAAAATGTAAACTCATTAAAAAAAATTAAATTTATTGTATGATTTATAAAATAACATTTTCTTATTAATATATTTAACTTTTAAAATTATAGTTTTATTATTTAAATAATTTAATGATAACTTCTTTTCATTAAAAATAAGAGGTTGAATCGCATAATATGCAGATGTAGTGAGATAAGAGATGAAAAAGAGTTGTTTCTCGTTGTGTAACAAACACAAAAAAATTATAATTTTATTTGATAAAAAATTGATATATAATTGCATTATAACAAATTGTATAATAAAAATACTTAAAATGAGAAACTAGTCTTTTTATATTCAAATCTCTCCCTCATCTATTATTTTGTAATTTAATGTAACCTACACATTATAAAATTGACAACACTTGTATAATAAACAAGTAAATGTATATTGAAAGAGTCAACTATTATGTGGGATTGTGTTGATGTTACGGGATGGAGGATTCTAAAATTTTCTAGTTGAACACTTCAGTCTCCAGACTACGGAATATTATGAAAGCTCACGGGGGGTTGAAAGGGCAGCCCATCACAGGATTTCAATCCAGCTCCCGGTTTTTGGCCCTTTTCTCTTCAAGGAGAGCAAGACCTCGTTGCAAACTCCGTGGATGAAAATTGAAAAACAAAAAGACCTGTCCAAGAAAAGAAGCAAATCTTGGAACTACCGTCCACTTTGTCGCCCGCTTGTGGTCGAGTTTTCCCTGAATCAAAGTCCATGCACCACCAAAAGCACGAAAGTAATACAAAAATATAAAGAAAAATGTTTTAGAGATGTCTCTGTGATGATATTTTAAAAAATATTATATTATATTATTTTTAATATTAATTATTTAATTAAAACTTTCTATTCATGTTAATTAAATATATTAAATTTTAAATTAATTTAGTAAACTTAATATGTATATTAGTTTCATAAAATTTAACACTATAATATATATTAATAACTAAAGCTTTTTAATAAAAAATTACTTGTATAAATAGAAGATTAATTTAAAAATTAACATATATGATATATATGAATAAAACATATAATCTAACTATTAATTATTGAAATATACTAAAAAATTATCACTAAATTATTTAAGT